CGAAAGTGTGTATGAATTTTTGCACGAACTTTGCGTTCTCCACCTTTTCGTAGTTTCTGGGGCCAAGTGCACGTACGATCTCACGAAATTTCCTACGACAGTTCATTTCGCGTTCCCTGCAAGTTTCGCGTCCAAAGTTGCGAAAGTTCGTGCGAAGTTTCGCACTTCATGACGTAGAGCGAAAGTTTGTACGCATTTTCGTTTTGCAGAACCTCTCTAGTGACTCATTTGTTTCATACGAGACGAGTCAATGAGTCGGTGTGGCTTAGAATCTTTCGCTGTAGAAGAAATCTATTCGTATGTCTATTAGAGAAATAATTGTATTCACTGGTTATAAAATAGGTTAAGACAAACTCACAGAATAAATACCATCGGTCCCTTGGTGTTCGTCCTAAAGAAGTTCGACTGGATATCATTCATACTCACCAAAAGATGTGTAAGATTATATTATTGTGGAGTGCCTTGTTTATCTCTCAGTACCTCTTATCCTCAGGATCAGTGTAGTTGTTGGAACGAGGAGTCGGACTCAGCAATGTATTTGTTTACATTTTAATACATGTTTATTGTTCCTCCATTGCTGTGTTGTTTTAGAAAATCGTGGACTAACAGTTTGAAGTCATTGAACTGCTTCCGAAGGTTGTATCAACATCAACAGGATTACCATTTCAGTGCAATATGATGCAGGATGACCTTATCACGATAACCCATGATTATAAACCATTATAAACACAGAATCAACAAAAACATCTGCGACACGCACCAGGCTACATTTCTCAAATAAATCTGATCGAGGGTGGGGAAATCTGAAATATCTGAAAGGCAAGACAATTTTCTGACAGAGTCATGAAATTCTGCAACAGCAAGCTGCAACATGCACAGAATGACCTCCGTATAAAAAAAAGTATCACCACCACCAGACCACTACTCACATGTCATGTTTCCCCGCAGAAGAACATGCTTTTTGCATTACAGTAGAGTCGCGCGCTGAAGAACGCGGAGCCCAAGAACGTCCAGCCTGAAATTCTAAGAACACCACAGCCTAAAGCTAAGAACGGCGGTGTTGGTTTTCTGGCAGCTTGTGGAATACATATGATCCAGTACGGATTGTTTCTAAGAACGTGCTATAAGAACGCAGCCAGATTGCAGAAAAAATAAGAACGTCCCAGGCTAACACCTTGGAAACAACGTTCTTGGGCGCGCGACTCTACTGTATGCTAGTGCCATTTTCTGCAAGAAAAGGCTTGCACATCAATGCGTATAATACGGTATTGATATGATGTGAAGGCCATCATTTACATATTGATATAGGGCATTCCATTGATTGGTGACAGAAAAAACAAAAGAAATTATAGCAATAAAAACTGCTTTATGGCAGTTTTCTAAAAAACGTTATTGTGTTCTAGTCCATGGACGGACCCCGTCTAAAAAGTAAGAAATTAACGAAATGTGATAGCCGAAAATTAAAATTTCACACAAAACCTCACAATAATCACCCACAGAATGAAAAGCTACATGTACATGTAGAAGACCTTTTCCCCTCGTGATCCTCTTTCCTATGCATGCATGTTGCCAATTGTTGGTGCAGTACAAGTTTAGTGTTGAAAGCAGCATTTCAAGTGTGTTGATTATTGTGAGGTTTTTTATAACAACCCACGGAATTGTGGGTTGTTATAATTGTTATATTAACTGAGCACAAAGAGGACTAAAGTAGAGGACTGGGGCAAAAAGGAGAAGACAACTCGGAGGACTACAAGAAGAACAACGGTGAAAACTACTAGGCGAACTCTGTCAGAATAACGACTAGGAGAACTACACTGCGCAAGCGCAGCCTTCTGGGTATAACTAAAGTTGTGGAGGGAAAGGGGTGCATGCAGTAAGTGGCAGTAGGGTGAGCGGGAAAAAGGTGCATGCAGTAAGTGAGACAAGGTGAGCGGGAAAAGGTGTGCATGCAGTTGGTGAAACAGGGTGAGCAGGAAAAGGGTGCATGCAGCTTGTGAGGCAGGGTGTGCATGAATGTGTAGGCAGTGCATGAATGTGTGTAGGGGAGTGCGTGCATACGCGAATGTGTACGGGGCAACCTGCGTTACCTGCGTCATATGCATGTGCTAGGCGTTCCAGGCTCCAGAGCGCCGGCTTTGCCACGTGCGAAAGTTGCACATTAGGGAGGTTTCGCTCTACGGAATTACGTATGAAAATAACGTATGAACTGCACGGAATTTTCATACGTAAAAATCAGAGCTGTTGGGTTTCGCTCTACGTGATTTCTCCACGACTGTTAAACATGTGTTGTTGCTTTGGAGACGCGTTGGCTGCATGCGCCCACCGTATGCACCATGAACCGAAACCGCGTTTTCCATTATATTTTGCACGTGGTGTACGGTGTGTGTACCTTGTGTTTCGCGCGGCTTGAATATTGCCATGGACAAAAAAGCGAAAATTATTTCAAAAAGTCCTACGGAGGACCCAACGTAGGAAAGAGCTTTCCTACGGAAATCCGTAGAGAGATTTACGTATGAAAGTTGCCCTCGCTCCCCGGCGCGTACGACATACGGATTTTCATACGTAATTACGTAGAGCGAAACCTCCCTATTAGTTCATTGCGAGGCGTTTCCGGAACGCATAATGAATCGAGCTCAAAACTGGCGACCTGCGCAACGCGCGCATTGCAAAAACGCTAATTGAATCACGCTTCGGGTCAACCACAACCGTCGCAACCCGCAACCTGCGCGACGCACGAGCTCAAGTATAATAAGGGCTTCACCTTCAGTCCCTTGCTCAGTTGCTTTCTTGTATCGCAAGAGGGAGTTTTGACTACGCTGGACTTTGAGGACTTGAGAGTTGATCTGCTATCTATGCGGTAAGTTCCATTCGTTTTTGTGAATGTATATGAGAATAGGTGTGCTGTTCGGGCAGGGAGAGAATTAGCTTGTACATGTACCTCAATGTGCTGTCCTCTCTAATCTTTTACCCTTTCTGTACCGTAACGTACTTGTGTATCAGTGGTAGATTTTCTTGTGACTTGACAGGACCTGACAATGCTTGCAAACGCAAGCAATGTCAGGTCCTCAGTACCACACCGTGACATGTACTCGTTGCTCCTGACAAGTCTGATCAGTTCTCATCAACCAATCAGGCAAATAAGACTTGTCCTAAGAAAATACTACCCAATACGGAGTGTGACGAACGAACTGTTCATGCTGGTTTTCTGCAAGCACCGATTTTGTCCAGTGGGTGAATGTCACACTCCAGTAGCTGTAAAAGGGCTAACAGGGTTCTCGCCCCTCCCCACTTTTTGACCGCCCCCTTTCAAAATGAATGCACCAGCCTTCAAGTCAGAGTTCGAGTGCCACCTTTATATGCATGATGAGCAGACAGTCATCATGTCCATGTACTTGTAGTTGCACCACGGCATTGTATGAATCATTGCATCATAGTTATCACTTACTAGTACCTCGGGCGGGTTGAACGCGGGGGGGGGGGGGGGAGAGTGAACAAAATACCGTACTGGCAATATATGTTGCCGCGTAACGCGTAACGCAGGGGGGTGTGGCGTAACGCGCGACCAGGCTAGTGCGACAAATTTTCGTTGCGTTCGTAACGCGCGTCCGGCGGGGTGCGGCGATCTTTTCATTGCAAAAAAGGCTGAAATTGTGAAAGCACGTGTACCGCGTGGTGAAAAGTTCAATACTGGACGCAGCAGGAAGTCCTGCAATAGCAAAAAAAGGACTGCGGCAATATAGAAACCTGTGTAACAGCTCCTGTGCGACTTTTCATGTAACGCCCTGCGTGCGGCAAACATGTGCCAATGTAACCCTTCATGGCCTCACTGCGGCAACATATATTGCCAGTACGGTACATGGAATGGACGTACAGTATTTCCGCGATCAGAGCCCTTTCTTGAATACTGCGTTATCTCTCATAGGGCCCTAGTCTCTAAGAGCCTGTGAAAATAAAGCTCTCCTTTGAAGAGTTCCCCCCCCCACACACACATACACATGGGCTTGTAACAAAGGTACATTTAGGTTTGGTGTTGTTTTGCTAGTGTTCTTGTCCATGCCACTGCACCGGTGGTTTCAGCAACAAAAATCTCAGTTCTTGTTTCCGTTTCTGTGGGGTTTTGAGAGTTTACCTGGATGATGCAAATATACTGGTGCTGGTGACTGTGAAAGTAACAGCCAAAATTGCGGCACAAAATGGCGGTAAAATCACAAATGTTTGAGTCCAATGATCCCCGTCCCCCTTCACGTTTGTTCAGGCTGTAACACTAGTCTTGTCACAGGATGTATCTAGTATTTGCTCACACTTAGCTCTCTCCAAATTTAGAAATTGGAGAGGCGTGGATCATTGTGGCATTAGCTAATCTTCTTGTTGGGCGGCCCACGCTTGTCTTTTCTAATTCCCTCTAAAAAGTATGTAGAAAGGAGTGAATAAGAATAATTGAACTGTGATAGCTCTGGTACGGTCCATTCAACACTATTCGATTCGAGCTGTTTTGTCTCTTCGTGAGCCAATTTCCCGAATATTCGAACATTCTTTCATTAATTTTAGGTTCGCACCACGAACATTTTCTCAGTTCACTGGCCTCGCAGAGGCAACCCACAGGCACAGTCCTAGTCAGGTGCTAGTCTGTACAAGTGTGACGTTCGTACTTCAGCGCTGTTATGCGAAGGGTAGAATTGATGCACTCCAAAAAACGTGCCTCGAGTCCTCGACTGCAGAGGGTAGCCTAGGTGCAACTGATCACAGGAAGTGAACCCACAGTGACTTTTCACCGTAGTTTTGCAGTGTTGTTATTACCAGGATATTCTTTCATTCATTCGTTACCATCAAAGGCGTTCGATTACGGAGAAATTGTTTTTATTTAGGCCCTATCCGTGAGTTAGTGGAGTGTGCACACATGGCGCCAAATTGTTAAATATGATCTTGTTTGCTATCACTTGGATTCTACTCAGTCAGAACTCCAGTTCATTGTGTTGCATGTACTGTTAACAGGATGAAGATGGGATCTATTTTATTGCTTACTCTATGTGTGTTGGCTTCAATGCTGCACACAATAAATTGTGCTGAAGGTAAGACTTTGAAAACCTAACAGATATTCATTTTCATTTTCTATCCGTTGTATGGAAACTTGCAATGACAAATATTGTAATATTCCATTACATTACATTTCTGTGATTTCGGGTTCTGGGAAAATTAACATGATCAACCTGTTGCCATGGCTCCGACTGTGCCCCGTGTTAGCTAAAGACTTTGTAGTGTAGAGGCGACGGTTTCAAATAGGACATAGGTTGCAAATCGGTACGGACTCAATATTCACTTTCTCTCTTGGTAAATTGATTAGAAAACATATGTCACAGTGAGACTACGGTGTGTTATATTCCGAGCCAAAACTTCATGGCTATGCGATAACCAGAAGTGCCATACCAAGCAGGTCAGTTTTGACGTGTTGCTTCGCACTGCGACTTGAATTGTACGACTTTTGAAAAATCAATTTCTTGTCAATAAAGCACCGCATACCAATCAAAACTAATGGAAGCAGGCTTATTGTTACTCTGCACTGGCCGTTGTGGAGCGATAGAAATTATTATATATTTATTATTATTTAAATAACCTACGTGAAGCTAAGACTTTTAATAATATAGCTAAGAATAGGATGAAGGCCGCAGAAATCACGCACCTACGTTTCTTGTTTGACATGTATTACTGTGTATTTTATAACAAAAATATTTTTGAAAACCCAGAATCGATTTTCTCGTTCCTATCATCAGTGGGAAAAAAAACAGAACTAAGGATACAACCGAAGAAACTAAAGTTAAGTACTGTAAAAAGAAAGGTGTTAGAAATAACATCAAGTGCAATAAAACCACTAGAGGAAACGAAAAAAGGTAACAAGATTACATAAGATTATTATTATTTATTCTTCTTTTACTAGGGAATTCCCAACAGGCGTCAGCGCCTTTTTACAAGGAACCCTTGGTATAATTTGATGGATGAGCGAAATTCAACTGGTGAACTAGACAAGCGGCAAGCCGGTGGAAGTGTATTCCACCTGGCAGTTACCTAATTTCAGACCCAGAGTGACGTTCACTCTAAAACCTGTCCGGTTTGGAACCATCTCTGATTTGAAGCGAAAAATTGGGCAACTTGGAGGCAATGGGTCAACACACAGGAGTGGCTCAGTTCGATTGATACTGGCCTCAGAGCAAACTTAAACATGACAGTTTTCTTCCACAAACATATTTCGAGTGAACAATCAACGCTGATGGTCGGTTTGGGTCTATACAAATTTGACTTTCAAGCCGTTCCGGTATAGAACCGTCGCTTCTACTACGTACCTCGAGTCAACTTTGAGGCACATTGTAGTCTAGTTCCTGTCAGATTTCTGATGGCTTGATTATGGTGAAAAAGAAGTGCGAAATGAATCATTCTATTAAAGTACTCAACGATCTTCATGTAGGTCACAAATTTCCATGTGGTAAAAATAATAATCATGTTTAGATGTTCAAGTGGAGAAAACTGACTTCCAGCGGTCATTGTGTATTGCACAACGATAAAGCATGACTTTTCTCAATCATCTTTTACGTGCAAAAAATAAATTTACAAAATTAACCCCAAACAACGCTACTATAACCACCAATCCTAATTCCGCCGCAGACAACACGAAAAGGACACCCGCCTATCGCAGTACGTCTGGGCCAAGAAGGGTGTAGGTAAGGCTAGCAGCATTCAATGGGCGGTAAACCGCAGAGCAGCGGCCTACAGCAACAAAAGCAAAAGGTGAAACCTGTGCTTGGCGGAATAATTGGCAATCGCGCAAGCACACAAGCACCTCTCTCTCAACAAAAAGAGTGAGCTTGTGTCAAAGTGTCGCCACAAGAATAAGAATTTTCTTCGGAAATTCAAACCATCCACAGCCATCACCTAATTAAGTAAGAGACAACCAGCTCAAGTGGTTGTCACCTTTCACCACTGCTGTCATTCACACTTTTACTTTTAGATTTGCATCATGATGCAGTCATTCACATTTTGCACCGCCGCCATTCGCAACTTTTAGATTTGCACCATGCTGCAGCCATTTACACTTCGCTTTGTGATTACATAGACAAAATACTGATTCAGATTTCTCATTACTGTTTTCTGATGATCGCTTAGTGCAATAAAAACACGTTCTCTGTCCTATCCTAACGAATATAACGAAGGTTAATTCAAAACGAAACTTTGAACTTGTACAGAATTAACTTTTTTTATGAACTTTGAAACTTTCGCTGTAGCCTTGTCATATTTTCAGTACATCCTACTCGCAACACACAACAGGGCATCATCAGGGATATCTGTGCTGATGCTCTCCTGGTTGAAAATGCGGACAATTTACTGTACGGCGAGGAGCCAAGAACTGTTTGTGTGTTCCGAGTTGGACGTACTTCCTCCGTTAACAAAACCTTCGTGATGGATATGAAAATGCTTGGAACAGGTTAAGAACAGTTTGTATGCCACTCACAAAGACACTCAGAATATGATCACTATTCGCCTGATTAAGATCGACAGAGAACTACATGAGCAAGAGCACAAAATATTAAAACTATTCTACAAAACGTAAAGCAAGGAACTGTTCGAAATCAGGAAACCAATAACTCACATAGCTGGCAGAGTAGATTGCACGCTCTACATCACACACTACAGAATCAGGTACACGTGGCAAAGCAGTTGACAACAGTGTACATTGAATGCATGCATGCATGCATGCATAATGTGTAGTACACACAGAGCAGCGTATCGCGTACAGATCATGTACAGACAGACCATGGATTCAAACATAACAGTATCGACTGTACATCACGGAACAAAGGTAGTTCAGCCGTTGTACAGCGTCTTTACAAGAGAAACTGTTGGCGGAATGGGCAGAGAGTTCAGTTTGCATCGCTTTTGCTCGACTCATTTTTTAACCTGCGTCGATGTCGTAATCTGCTGCACGCGAGTCGTCATCTTTCTTGAGTTGATGTTCAGCCTTACCTCGGCTTTTTTGATCACACTCGGCTGTACTTTGGTGATGCCGCCGTCGTTCAAGCTGACTTTCGTGATCCTCCACGGAGGCGATTACACATTTCCACCAGGGAGTCGAAACAAATATTTTATGACTCCCTTGTTTCACATCCTATCTCCTGAATTTTGCAAAACCAGGAGCAGATGCACAGCCAAACTGATTCCGTTTTCTCTGATTAATGCTCCTGCCAGCACTGAATTGCAGTGGCTAGCAATTAACGTTGACTTTCTTTAGCCACGACACTCATGTCGGACTACAGACTTCAGAAGAATGCATGGTGATCGGCACGATTTTTCTTCTTCTTCTTCTCCATTATTCTTTTTCTTTCCTTCCTTTCTCTTCTTTCTTTGCCGAGAGCCTTCTGTTACTATTATTTTCTTTTCATCTCTGTCCCCATTCCTGGGTTATTTGGACTTCATTCGCTTCCTTGTGATTGGACATGTTCAGTCCGGTCGGTTTGCGACAACCAACCCCACCGACCCCACCGTGAGTACCACACCCTAGAGGGTGAAGGAACCACGCTTTACATTGACAACTCTCTCTTTATACTCTTGACGCTTAGAATCCTGGTTTTCGCTCAAAGTTGGCTCCTTCTATCCCTAGGTGGACTTCATTCACCCAATATGATGTTTGGTCCGGAAACCCTCCGTTCTTTAGATATTGACCCAAATCAAAAAAGTCGATAAAAATACGAACTGAAACACCTTCAAACAAGGTATAAGAATGAAGGTTCACTGCTGCTCACAACAACGCAGTACAGCCAAACAAATTATGTTCTCATACCGATCCACTTCACCTAGTAATGTTTAGCCATCCATATTTCGATTGGCGTCTTGCTGGGTCCCTTGAAGAAATCTATCAATTCAGCCTGTCTACTGGCGGCTTTTTTGAAGGCCATTTACAAGGGCCAGTAGAAGCGGGTTACGTCCTGAAATTGGGGTAGACCACCATCATAGGCGGTTGCAACATGTCCCCAAGCGCCAACAAGTGGTCTTGAATAAAGTTATCCACTAAATATCACTTGGGGGAAATATTCAAATTTCGAACTCTCCAACGTCCATGCACTAGCCGAATGCAACTTCGGGGCAGGATAGCACACCCGGAGCGCCTCCATATACCTTTTCGCTACGCTACCAGCACTAAGACATGATGGGAATGATCTCTGCCCTCACAGAAACTCAAATGAAGCCGTAGTTTGCTGAACAACAGCCCAACATGACGAGAAAGAACTGCTCAAATGCAAACAAATATACAGGAAGGGCTGCAACAGTAGCGCAAGATGGCCCAAAATTTCTCTTGTACAAGGCAGCCAGTGCACTCGAGTTTCACGTGTGCATCGATGCCTCGTCGCACTAGTGGAAAATCACGATGTAGCAGTCGGGCGCTTGAGGATATCAGGTATGCATTGCAATTGGATAATCAAGAATCGAAATAGCAACTTGAGAGAAATGTTCAATTGTTGTTGTTGTTGTTGTTGTTGTTGTTGAATTCGTTATTCTCACGATGGCAGCATCGCCAATAAGAGATAAATTTATGAGAAGTTGAGATTGTGGGTTAAACAGTTGGAAAGTGATTTACATCACTTTGAACTTTACAAGTATGGGAGAGGGTGAGGGCTGCAGGAGCAGATTGAGTTAATCAGCAGTGAGCAGATTTCTTGTTTCAAAGCAGGTCGGGAGGAGACGTCACGAATGCTAGAAGGGAGGGCATTGTAGTATTCAAGGGGCTTGTACAGTGGGGAGTCTTTACAGCGATCGGTTCTGGAGGGTGGGAGGTGCCAAGTGCGTGCGTGTCGAAGGCTGTACTGGGCCGCAACTTGAGCGGGGGTGTTGAGCATGCGTATGTGTTGTGGAGCATATTGGTATTTTATGGAGTGAGTAAGAAGGGCGAGCTTCACTCTGCGGCGAGAGAACATTGTCGGCCATTTGAGCCGATGGAGCAGTGTTGAGTGATTCAGAGGAGTGTAGAGGGGGAGACGGAGCCAGATTCTGGCCGTCTTGCGCTGGATTCGCTCAAGACGGTCAAGGG